TCACTGACAAGGGAGAGGTCTGTATGTAAACAATCAGCTCCAGCATACTACTTTGTATTGCTCTGCATAGCAGAGCAATACAAAGCAATGTGCTGACACTGTAAAACACACACACAGCACACAGTAAAACAGCACACAGTTAACCCTTTGATCGCCCCAGATGTAAACCCCTTCCTGTCCAGTGTCCAGTGCTTTTTATTAACACTGATCACTGTATTAGTGTCACTGGGGATGTCAGTGGCAGTTAGTGTCAGAATTCCCACCACAGTCCCGCTATAAGTAACTGATCACCTCCATTACTAGTATAAAAAAACTTAAAATTCTGGTATATATACAGCCATTTGCAGACGCCATCATTTTCACGTAAACCAATTAATTTACGCGTATTAGGATTTTTTTTAGCAAAGACATGTAGCAAAATACATTTTGCCCTAATTTATGACAAAATTTTATTTTTTTTATTTTTTTACTGGACATGTTTAATAGAAAAAAGTCAACAATATTGTCTTTTTTCTCAAAATTGTTGGTCTTTTTTTGTTTAAAGTGCAAAAAAAAATGCAGAGGCAATCAAATACCACCGAAAGAAAGCTCCATTTGTAGAAAAAAAGGATATAAATTTCATTTGGGTGCAGCGTTTCATGACCACGCAGTTGTCAGTTAAAGTAACGTAGCGCCGTATTGCAAAAAATGGCCTGGTCAGGAAGGGGGGTAAATCCTAAGGAGGGCAAGTGGTTAAAGAGAAAAAAAACTTAAAAATAAAAAGAAACTAATGCTGCTGCCACATTTAGGGGTTGTATGCTGCAATATATTTTTGTAGATGGCCCTCCCTTTCCTTGCCAGAACTCCTAGAAGATCCCAGTGCCTATCAACATTGTCAACACTGGTGCTTTGTGAAGGGGATCATCTGTATTTACTTGGAAGTTGCCTCTCAAAGCATCCCACAATGCTGAAAGGCACACAGGCTGGTATGAACATAGTATTGGGTAGTGCAAGCTTAATGCCCCCTTGTTATGGGGGATACCAGCCTGCTGCATGGACTGGCTAGCTCCAAGGGTGGAGAGCCAAGCTATTTTAACATTAAAAAATACAGTTGGAACGTATTGTACTGAAAAAAAAAACTGTTTCAGATAGGGTTGCATCCTCATCCCTTTAAAACCAAACACATATTAATTATACAAATTCTGTGGCTGATTAGGGGGCAATGAAATTCATTTAGTGCCTTATCTGCATTAAATTGGCCTCCGAATCTGTGTAATGAATGTGTTTGATTTTAAAGGGATGAGGTGGCAACCTTAGTTTCAGACTATGAAGAGCTCCTGCTGGCAAACTTGCCTGCATGTTCCCCATACTTGTGACCAGGGGAGGATTGACAGCTCATGGGGCCCCCAGGCAATAGGAGATCATGGAGCCCCTGTGTCCTTGACCACACTCAAAGCACACCCAAAAAAGCCTATAAAAAGGTACCAGGGGCATTTCATGGGCCCCCCTACTGACCCTGGGCCCTCGGGCAGTGCCCGAGTGCTCTAATGGTTCGTCCACCCCTGCTTGTGACATTTAAGGCTTTTCACTGGCTTTGCCAGATGCACTTTTAATCTGATATGACAGTGGTATGCTAGATGACTGCTGTTGAAAGTCATTTGGGCAAATAACAATAAAGGGCCTATGGGGCAAATATGCTGAGTGATCTATGTACATTGCTGCTGCATGGTCTGGCTAGCTCCAAGGAAGGAGAGCCAAGCTATCTTTTTTCAACAACAAAAAAATACAGTTAGAACGTATTGTGCTAAAAAAAAAAAAAAAACAGTTTCAGATATGGTTGCCATCTCATCCTTTTAAAACCGAACACATATTAACACAGATTTTAGTAAACTACAGTTTCTGTTCTTAAATAAAAGCTGTATTTTCCACTATGTACTTGAAAGATTGATTCCTGAATGGGACTAGCCGTGCTCATTCTAACCAGTTGATGCTTTTGCAAGGCTCTAATGAGGAAAGTGGCAGTGCCTGCATCTCTTTAGAAGTAGTTAACCCTCAGGAAGTATTTCACCAAAAATAGAAATCCTACTGCACAGAAAATGTGTAAGGCCGGCCACACATGGGTCGATTTCCGAACGATTTTTTTGTTTGAAAATCGGACCTAAGGATAATCAGCTGATTTTCGCTCTGTTAGTGGGATAATGGCACCAGCCGATTTTCATGGTTCCTCCACATTTCATTTATCGGGCATGCTGGAAAATTTGTGAAAAACTACTAATTTTCTAAATCATTGGTGGCACCACCACAAGCAGGAAATTACATTTCTGGGGAAGTTTTGTACACCAACTGTGTAAAAGAAGGCCTCTAGGTTGTTATAGTACTTTGAATTTTACAGAAAATTACACGGCTGCTGATTGAAAAGGAAAAGTAATTTTTATTCAATTACAATTTGGTTTGTTTAACAATAGTATACACCAGGGGCATTGAATTAAAATTCAAGGAGGTTCAGTCACTAAAATATTTGTTCTGGCCCGAGGACTAAATAGGGTGTGCCCATCAGTGTGCCCCCTTACATTACATGTCGCCATCAGAGTGCAATTTTACATTATGTATTCCCATCACATCAGGTGTGCTCATCAGGGTGCTCCTTTACATCAGTTGTCCCTATCAGAGTGCCCCTTTACATCAGGTATCCCCAACACAGTGCCACCTTACATCAGGTGTGACCTTACACTCAAAGTACCCTTTTCCATCATATTTCCCCATCAGAGGGCCCCTTTACATCATATTCCCCATCAGACTGCCCCTTTACATCATATTTCCCATCAGACTACCCATTTCCATCACATGTGGCCATCAGACTGCCCCTTTCCACAGTATGTGCCCATCAGAGTACCCCCTTAACATAAAAGATGCCCATCAAAGTGTCCCTTAACATAAAATGTGCCCGTCAGAGTGCCCCTTAACATAAAATGTGCCCATCAGAGTGCCCCTTAACATAAAATAAAGGGCATGCTGATTGGCACATTTTATGTTAAGGAGCACTCTGGTGGGCACATTTATATTAAGGGGCACTCTAATGGTACATATTATGTTAAGGAGTACTCTGATGGGCACATTCTATGTTCAGAGTGCCCCTTAACATTCAATGTGCCCATCAGCATGACCCTTTAACATTCAATGTGCCCATCAGAGTGCCCCTGTAAGACTACACCCTACCATGAGGATAGACCGGAGCTGTGCCGGGATCCTTGCTGAAGGATGCTTGTGTACAGGCAGGGATTGGGAGCCGGAAAGACAGTGAGCTGCAAGTGGCATGATGTCATGTTGCCTTGACGACCGCCCTGATCAGCAGCGGATCTGTCATTCCAGGCTGGCGCTTCAGAAGCAAGCGCTGTTGGGGCCGTTCTCAGACCGCGGTCCGCCATTTAGTGCCTGCTGGTATACACTCTATAATTTGCATTTTTATTTTCACGAAAGTCAAGTTTCCCTTTAATTATCCATTAACAGCACGATGTCATGTTCCGAACACCACTACACCACCTAGCATACAGTACTGGGCAAAAAAAATTACAGATGTAAGCACTGATTTTCTTCTGCTGGTCATTCAGCATTGATAGCTTGGATTTCTAAAGAATGCAAACCATTTTTGTTTCTTTTTTTGGAATGAGGACTTGGAGATAGCTGGATGTAAATGGACACGTCTGTGTATCTTCACCTGCTCTTAGACTAATATTGGGCTTCTGTTCAAATCTGCCTGAAAAACTGACAGCAGGATCACACTGGAATTACTGTGTGAAAGGGGCCCAAGACACACATACGGTAGCAAAGTAGCTAGAATACAAGACTGAATCTTTCTAGAAACGTAATAAGCAGCAATGTTTTGTTTTATATTCTCGCTGTATTACTCTGAATGCTCCTGAACATTTCCCTTACCGTCTACAGAGTACATTAGAGGCCCTCATAAAAATATATGCCAAGTGCAACTGTACTTTTACTCAGCACTAAGTAAAAGAACTGCAACATAGTCAGAGGAGCAGTTGATTATCCAGAGGTTATACATCCAGAGGGCCCGCAATAGTTTTGTGTTTGTAATTTTGCTGACATACCCCCAGGGGTTTGTCCATAATGGCCTGACCCATAGTACTTGGAGCAGTAATGCTTGCTGTCATTAAACCTGGAAGGCAAGCAATACTGTACCTTGGAGCAGTAACTCTTCAGGCAGGAATAAACAACAATACAAAAAAATGTTGTCACCCTAGGACAGAACAACATAATACCCCCCCCCCTTCCTTTCGTTAAAGCATGGGGGAGGTGGCCTGTAGTTCACAGAGAAAGCTGTAAACAATTCCCAATGATAAAAGTAGCAGAGAGAGAGAGATAGAGTGCATATCATGTTATCAGCTCACAAGATTTCTGGCAGGATCAATAGGGATTTTTTTTATTAAACAAGATGTCAGAAAGCAATTTCATTGGTATATATAAAGCAAAACTTCAACATTACTGTGAGTCTTGCACAGTTATACAGGCTTCTATCCATTACTGAAATTGTTTAATATGATTTCACTGCACACTGTGAACTTTTTTTTACTTTTTTTGCGTCAAAAGCTACAGCAAATCTATATTGCCAAAAGTATTGGGACACCCCTCCAAATCATTGGATTTAGGTGTTCCAATCATCTCCATGGCTACAGGTGTATAAAATCAAGAACCTAGGTGACTGTGGTACAACTTTGTATGTTTGTAGTTTGTATAGGACTTGTCCCTCTGAAATATGGGAACCAAAGTTGCAAGTAAACCATTCAGGTATGACTTTCAGGCAACGTTTGAGGGTTGAGGTCTATGGCCCTCAAATTGCATGAAAGTCTAACCAAAGTTGTGCATGAACTACTTTGAAGTCAGCGAGACTTTAAGTCACACATACACTATATTTCCAAAAGTATTGGGACACCCCTCCAAATCATTGGATTCAAGTGTTTCAATCACCACCATGGCCACAGGTGTATAAAATCAAGTACCTAGGCATGCAGACTGCTTCTACAAGCATTTGTGAAAGAATGGGTCGCTCTCAGGAGTTCCGTCAATTCAAGCGTGGTACCGTGATAGGTTGCCACCTGTGCAATAAGTCTATCTGTGAAATTTCCTTGATACTAAATATTCCATTGTCAACTGTTAGTGGTATTATAACAAAGTGGAAGCAACTGGGAACAACAGCAACTCAGCCACCAAGTGGTAGGCCACCTAAAATGACAGGGCGGGGTCAGCACATGCTGAAGCGCACAGTGCGCAGAAGTCGCCAGCTGTCTGCAGAGTCAATAGCTAAAGACTTTCAAACTTCACGTGGCCTTCAGATTAGCACAATGACAGTGCGCAGAGAGCTGCAAGGAATGGGTTTCCATGGCCAAGCAGCTGCATCCTAGCCTTTCATCACCATGTGCAATGCAAAGCATCGGATGCAGTGGTGTAAGGCACGCTGGTGTAAGCCACTGGACTCTAAAGCAGTGGAGACATGTTCTCTGGAATGACGAATCACACTTCTCTGTGTGGCAATCCAATGGATGTGTCTGGGGTTGGCAATTGCCAAGAGAATGGCACTTGTCTGTCTGCATTGTGCCAAGGGTAAAGTTTGGTGGGGGAGGGATTATGGTGTGGGGTTGTTTTCAGGGGTTGGGCTTGGCCCCTTAGTTCCAGTGAAGAAAACTCTTAAGGTGTAAGCATAGCAAGACATTTTGGACAATTTCATGCTCCCACCTTTGTGGGAACAGTTTGGGGATGGCCCCTTCCTGTTCCAACATGACTGCGCACCAGTGCACAATGCAAGGTCCATAAAGACATGGATGAGAAAGTTTGGGGTGGAGAAACTTGACTGGCCTGCACAGAGTCCTGACCTCAACCCGATAGAACACCTTTGGGGATGAATTAGAGCAGAGACTAGGAGCCAGGCCTTCTCATCCGACATCAGTGCCTGACCTCACAAATGCTCTTCTAGAAGAATGGCCATACATTCCCATAGACACACTCCTAAACCTTGTAGATAGCCTTCCCAGAAGAGTTGAAGCTGTTATAGCTGCAAAGGGTGGGCCAACTCAATATTGAACCCTACGGAGTAAGAATGAGATGCCATCAAAGTTCATGTGCAGGCATCCCAATACTTTTGGCAATATAGTGTAGATCCCCCTTATTTTTTGGCTGAAGGACATCCAGTATTATTTAGCTCTTTCCTCCCCAGCCATACCATTCTTTGCCTACCTCTTTTCAGTCCTTTCTGTCACTTTTAAAGCTGGCCATACATTATACATTTTCCTTGTATAATTTTCCTTTAGATTTACCAAAAAACATATAATATGAGGTCAAACCTAAACAACACTAGTTGAAGGTAAATCTAAAGCAAATTTTATAGTAATTGTACAAGAACATTTTATAATGTATGGCCAGCGTTACAGGATTATCAGTGATCTGAGTGCAAGGTACAGTATGACAAAGATGTAGCCTGCAACATACCTATCAAAGAGGAGAACAGAAAACACACATGTTGCTCACTTGCGTTCCAGGTTTAATGTGTTGAACAGAAATGGATCACATTATACAGATAATTGCTTTCTTTATAGTAGCAGTGCAGGCCACATGGAAAAGCGCATCAATTTGTGTTACTAACATATAGGATACTAAACAGAGAAAGTGAATTCCAGAACAAACACAAAACTGAACAAAGACAGCATAAAGTGTGACTAACCTGTATCAAAAAGAGAACAAAAAACACGCATTGCTCACTTGCATTCCGAGTTTAATGTAAGCTTGTTAGGTCTCAGTCTCCTGAAGTCACATTACAAATCATTAGAGCTCCCTTTAGCTGCAGCCTAGTAATATCATTAGTGGGAGGTTTATTCATTTACTTGCTACACCAGATTAACCACTTCCCGTCCGGCCGTTGTATATAAACGGCCGGACGGTGGCAGTGCAGGGTCAGATAGCCATTTATAAACGGCCTGCTTGTGAGGGCTCCCTGGGAGTCCGTAGCATCGCGATCCGGTGCCCGCTGTGTCTTCCGGACACAGTGAAACACCGATCATCAGACGGGACCTCCGTGTGAGATCCTGATCATGTGATCACTGATTAGCCAATCAGTGATCACATGCAGAGTAGTAAGCAAGATGTCACTTGTGACATCATTGCTTACTATGTGTGAAATCTGTGAATGATCACAGAGGTCACATGGTACAAGGCTATTCACAACAGCCTTGTACCATGTGACAAGCTGTGACTATACACAGCTCACTCAGTAGTTCTCAATGGCTGCAAGAATGCAACCAGAGAGAAGGAGAAAATGATTGCTTTTACATCCTTTATGGGTGTAAAAGCAGTGTAAAAAAAAAAAAAAATCTTTATCACCCCCCACAAGTAGTACAGTATCACCATGGTGACACTGTACTGCTAGGGTGACAGTATGTAAAAAAAAAATTAATGAATAATATAAAAAAAAATAAAAAAAATGTAAACATAATGTTTAAAAATTATAATTTTTGGTTATAAACTAATTTGGTTATTTTTTTTTTACCCTCTGTGTGGACAGCGTTGATTGGCCCTGTGCACTCTCCCAAGAAAAAAAACTCTAACAATACACACCAAACTGAGCATGTGCAGCTTGCCCTTTACTACATATACAGACTTATTTTACTTTTGTGGGTTTAGTAACACTTTAAGGCTTAGCATCACCTGTGGGTGTTGCAAATGCAGCCTGCCTAGGTATGCCCACTTCTCCAGACTGGCAACCACTCTTCAAGACCTTTTGATAATATTTGTATACGTCCTCCCATGATTAAAGTGTTCCTAAACCCAGGACCCTGCATTTATTATATCGTATCTCACACAGTACACAAAACATGGAAATGCAATTAATTTAGTAAATATAAATACCTTTTCTCATCCGCGGTTAGAGCAATTTTGTGACTTCTATAGGTGTCCAGCAGAGCACATGTTAAAGTTTGTAGGAGGAGTTTTCATTTTGCTCTAGGAGGATGCAGAACACCTAACCCTCTTCTCTGGACAGTGCTGATTGGCCCTGTGCTGATCACATGCACTCTCCCAAGAAAAAAAACCTCTCTAGCAATCCACACCAAACTGAGCATGTGCAGAGTGTCTCCACACGATATGTCTTATCAGGAGATAAGAGGGGGACACTGGAAGAAGGGGTGGATCAGAGAAATCGGGATCAAACAGCCTTTTTACACAATGCAGAGGAATAACCCCTTAGGTTCCACAGTGAGTATAATAAGCATGCTTTACTGCAAATCGGGATTTATTTTACTGTTGTGGGTTTAGTAACACTGTTGCATCAGGGCTGAGGGCTCGTTACAGGAGTACTGAGACAGACTGCTGTGATGTTTTCAGGAAGCAGCCTGTTGGCCCCCTTCCCGCAGCCATGGTCTTCCTACACTGCTTAGAGAAGCACAGAGACTGGATCTAAAATAGTGTACATCATGAAACCCTAAATATTTTAGTTAAAAATGTAATCAGCTTGTTTATGAGGATGGGAAAGGAAGAATCAGAAGGTAAAATATAGGCAAATTCAGTTTTAGCTTTAACAGACCACAGAGGCCAAATACGAGAGGTTCATTGTTAGGGTTTATATACATTTTAAGAAATAAGGTTCTATCTGGGGAAAGTGATAGTAGACACAACAACAGGAGTTTATTTTAAAGACCAGTGAATGGACTTAAAGTGATACCAAACCCACAACAGTAAAATCAGTCTGTATATGCAGTAAAGCATGCTTTTTATACTCACTGTGGAACCTAAGGGGTTAATCCTCTGCATTGTGTAAAAAGGCTGTTTGATCCTTTCTTCTCTGTTCCTCCCCTTTTTCAAGCAACCACCACTTATCTCCAGACTGAATCTTAGGCATGCACATGCTCAGTTTGGTGTATATTGCTGGAGAGATTTTTTTTTCTTGGGAGAATGCACGTGATCAGCACAGGGCCAATCAGCACTGTCCAGACAGAGGTCAAGGGATTTCCATCCTCCTAGAGCAGAAAGAAAACTCCTCCTACAAGCTTTAGCTAGTGCTGGACTGGACACAGTTAGAAGCCACAAGACTGCTCTAACTTCCGATGAGAAAAGGTATTTAGCGGTTTATATTTACTAATATAATTGCACTTCCATGTTGTGTGTACTGTGGGAGACCAGATATAGTGAATACAGGGTCCCAGGTTTAGTAACACTTTAATTTACTTCAATACTCAACTCAAATACTGTTGTCAGGAAACAAGGGTAAACAATGAGATCATTGACAGTCTCTGCTCATTTCTCTCTAAAGACAACCTACTACTTCCTTTTGTTTGCAGTTAGTGATGGGGATTCATCCCTGCCACCTAAGTGAACACACTTATTTCTCCTGTCAGCTGGAATGCCTGTAAACCCCATGGACCACTAGAACTCAGACAAGTGACATGACACCATGATCACAGTGACACGTAGCTGTATAAGGGCTTGAAAAGGACACACAGTTGTTTGATTATATTACAACCATATTGACATACAGGTTGCATCAACTCCGTTTCCTTTTCAATGTACTCTGATCATAGGTAAAATGGCATTATATATTCAGAAGAGAACCAGTATGGTGATTTCAAAGAATGCTGCAGACAGACATAACATTTTTATGGACACAGATATAGCAAGCTTTAAATTGTAAAGCAGCTGTGAAAACACTGGCAGCCCAAACAGGCGATTAGATTCTTATCTGCCATCAAATGCAATGCAAATGTGAAAATCATTGTAATGCATAAAATTAACATTCAGCTTATCCCAAGAGCCAGCTGCTAAGAGACTCGTAATAATAAAAGAACTTGTTTCAAATATTTCCTGCTACCCCATGTAGCTTCTAATTACTAAAAACCGTGTAACTGTATATGCTCTGAAATCATAAGCAGTATACCTGGCGCTATTAAGTAGTCTTGATACACATGAGAATGGAATCGCGAAAAAAAAAAACAAAATCAATTTACTCCCATGCCTGTGAGGCTATGCCCTCTTCGAGCACTCTCCCATTCTTTTGTGATTTCTCTTATTGTAGATGTGTGCTTTGTCAGTTACGAAAGAACAATGCAGCATTACATAAGGCAAGGAGAATACTTCACCATCAAGGCTACCATAAACAATCACTTTCACTGTCAAGGTTGAAATTCTTCCAGCCAACTGTAGAGTTCTAACCCTACATCAAACAGAAGAGAAGAAAAGTAGAGAACTTAGTAGTTTAAAAGAGTAAGGCTATGTTGGGAATTTGCTAAAATAAAAAAAAATAAAAAATACTTGCTTTATATTTCTGTGTATATTATTTTGATTCATTGCTGCTCTGTGCCATAAAGTAGATAGGGAGAAAAAAAAGAAAGAACACAGTTGTCAAAGA